GTGATCAGCTCTGATGTGATCAAGGGGGTTGGGCTAGAGATCTCCAGATGTCCCTATCCACCTACCAATTTTTGTGATATATGAAGAAACAGAGGTCTGACGTGGAAAATTTGAGCTGAATCTGAAGATATTTAGAAGTGCTGAGCCCAGAAATAAATGATCTTTGCAGCTCATAGCTGTCACCTCCTCATTTCCCCTTAGGCAAATGATCCCCTCAGCCCAGCCTCTTTGGTCTTTCGTGCGAATTTTAAGCCAATAAATGATACAAGACTGGCATAATCAAAGCCATCACATGGGCAGAGTCATGAACCCTCCTTCAGACCTGGGAAAAGTGAGCCCTTCGGCCACTGCTGGTCTGGGAGGAAAACCCTGCTTGCTTCAGGAAAGTCCATAATGACCCTGTAGCACTAGCTTTAAAAAATAGCGGAGATCAATTACTTCTCCCCTTCATCCCTTTCTCTGGGATCAGGGGCTTCTTTAGTCCCTCTGGATAGGAAACACATTGCTCAGCTGCTTCCCATATGCCATACGGGGAAACTGAAACAACTTGCCTTCCCAGATCCTTAAGAAGCCCATGTACTTTTCCCTCCCACCTCTCTCCCTTATTCAAAGAGCAGAGTCAAAGACAGACACACTCACGGCTGATCCAGTCTGTGTGTTTTCTCAGGGAAGAGGTCTGTGTTTACATGTGTGGGCTCAGACTGGGAACATATTGCAGATGGACAGGACGGGAGTGCTTGCATGTCATTGGTAGATGAGTTTGGGGTTTCCTTCTGTGGTGGGTCTACCCTGTCTGGACCCCAGACACCCACCAAAGCCCTTTTCAATAAAATGGGGAACAGAAAATATAATGAAAGGCTCATGGGTTGAGACAAGGACAGGGAGTGATCATTCACCAATTACTGTCACAGGCAAAACAGACTTGACTTGGGGAAAAATTAATATAATTTATTATTTATCAGATGAGAGTAGGATAATGAGAAAATAAAAACAAACCTTAAAACACCTTCCCCCCACCCCTCCCTTCTTCCTGGGCTCAATTTCACTCCCTATTTTCTCTACCTCCTCCCCTCCAGCAGCTCAGGGAGTTGCAGTCAGTCTATTATATGCTGTCTCTGCTGCTCTTTCCTCCTCAGGGGGAGGATTCCTCGCACTCTTCCCCTGCTCCAGTGTTGGGTCCCATCCGTGGGAGACAGTCCGTGAACTTATCCTATGTGAGTCCTTCCTTCCCACAGGTTGCAGTACATGAACTGCTCCAGCATGTGTTCCTTCTGCAGGGCACAGCCCTTTAGGAACAGATTGCTCCAGTATGGGTTCCCCATGGGTTCACAAGTCCTGCCACCAAACCTGCTCCAGCATGAGCTCCTCTCACCAAGGAGAGGAGGTCCTGCCAGGAGGCTGCTCCAATGTGGACTTCCCACAGGGTCACAGCCTCTTTGGGCATCCACCTACTCCAGCGTGGGGTCTTCCACAGGCTGCAGGTGGATATGTGCTCCACTTTCTCCTCTCCTTATCTGTACTGTGTCATCCCAGAGGCTCTGCCACCATTGCTGATGGGCTTGGCCTTGGCCAGCAGTGGGTCTGTGTTGGAGCCAGCTGGCATTGACATGACATCTGACTATCAGACATGAGG